CTGGTGGCCCGCGTGATCGCACAGAAGCCTGTCAGGGCATCCCCTCCAGCAGCCGTGGGCGTCTTAGACCTGCCTCAGTCCCCTGGCGCCCAGGCCGCTGGGGATTTTAGAGCACTTCCACATTTGGCAGAGAGAGTGTCCACAGACCTCAGAGGGCCCAATTTCACCATCCTTGCCAGGAACTTCTCCCTTGCTTTCTTCTCTTGCTGTTGGTCTGGATAAAACTGGCAGCCAACAAGTCAGGAGATTGTTCTAGCTCTTTGTGACTGGATCTTCCCTCCCTGACTTGCCTGATGGTCAGGGTGTTCTGAAGAGTCTCCGGAATAGCGTGGGAAGATGGGCAGGCGCCCTGTTCTTCCCTCTCTCAGCTCTTCGATTCTGAGACCATCATCTCTCATTGCACTTTGATCCCAGGAGTCCAAGACTTCTGACCCCGCTGCCAGCCTCCCGCTTCTCCTTCCCCCATGCCCTGTGCCAACCAGGGGTTTCTTCTACTTGCTAGGCCTCCTGGCAGAGGCAGGAGTACAGCTGCTGTCCTACCAGACCTCAGTGGTGTCCGATGGGGAGCCCTGGCATGTCATGGGCATCTCCTCCCTGTTGCCCAGCCTGGAGGCGTGGAAGCAGCACGTGACTGAGGCTTTCCAGTTCCACTTCTAACCTTGGGGCTCACCAGTCCCTCACGGGGGCTTTTCTGAAGAAACTCGCCCACTGTGATCAAAGAGGAGAGGAGATCCACATTCCTGAGGCTGACACTGCTTATGCTGCAGACCTCTCCTAACCCCTGTAGTACTGCAGTGACCACCTAATAAAGAGCCTACCCCACATCTCTGAGCGTCTTGGCGTTATCATTACCCTGAAGAGCCACCAGAGGGCATCCGCAGGCAGCCAAGGGGCAAGCCATTTTGGCTTGCAGTTTTGGCTGCAGGAGGGTAGGGTGTGTGGAGGGGAGATCCGGACCGGCGAACCGCGTGCCTGGCTGTGGGAGCTCTGAAGAGGATTCGTCCCCTGTCTATCTCAGGTTATTCAGAGACATTTTTACAGAAGCAGAGCTCAAGGTATTTCAGATTCCTGTGGTATTTCAGATCCCTTTCATCTGGAAATATCCATGCATATGAATAAATGTAATTCAGCAAACATGCACAGCATTATATGCCAGGCACTGGACTCAGTGGTTTGCCTAAGAGGAGGATTAAAACCAGACAGCTCCCATAGAAGTCTTCATCTGGTAGGCGGGACAGAGCATGCAGAGGTCACCAGAAGCAGGTGCTACAGGTGTCTGTGAATTCTGTTGGGTCCAGAGGCAGAAGTGCTTTGAGCTGAGGATGGTGTCTCCGAGGAGATGTTTGGAGAGATTTCACAAGGGGAAGGAAGCGTGAGCAAAGACATGGGGCGTGAGGATATTTGGTGGGTTCATAAAACAGTCTAGTATGGGTTGGACAGTCTATCTCTTGAAATTTTTTTAAGATGATTATCATGAAACATAACAGAATGGCACTCCCTCACCCTATGGTTGTGATACTGAGCAATGGGCTTGCTCTGCTCCCTGCGATCTGAGCCAATTAATCACAATGAATTAGGGATCCAGAAAGGAAGTTTTAATTGGATTACCTGGCATAATCGGGAAGATGGCAGACTAATGTCTCAAAACACCATCTTCCAAAATTACAGGATCTTGAGGTAGTTATATAGGGAAAATGGGCAGCAAGGAGGGGGTTCCCTCAGGCATGAGGGACTCCAGGGTCTTTCATTGTTCCATTCTTCTGTCAGCTGTGATGGATACCTTGTAGGTGTGTGTGTTTCCTGCCTCTGGTCAGCCTGTTCCTGGAGAGAAACTCAGAACAAAGTTTTAATTTATCAAGCTATTGGGGAGTACATATGTAAGCAGGGGCCATAAATCAGGAGTGCATGTGAACTTTTTAGAGTACGTGCAGAGCAGCGAGTAGTCACACAGAGGAGGGGCTGGGTCATTTCCGTAACAAGATGGCCTTAGTTATGCTCACAGTTTCACCTTTTGAGGTTTTTTTCTCCCATCAGTAGGGGATGACCCATCCCTATCTTGTGCCCAATAGCAACTATTTTTAAGACTCCTACCCAGACTAAGAAGGCCAGGACAGGGCATCTGATGGGCGCTGACAGCGAACCCACCACTTTGGCCTCCTTAGTGCTATGATTAAGCTAAAGAGCCATAGGAACTCCACTAGTAACCCATCGCCATGCTAGCCTCTGCAGGGCACCCAGAACAGGTATGGTGTGGCCTTGCTCTGGTAGACCTGGGAGGGGATACGCCTGGATGTGAACAGCAAGGCTGGGTGTGAACAGCTCTGACCTTGAGCAGTGTTTAATTCCCCTAAGCCTTTGTTCCCTCATCAGTAAGAGGGATGATGATGCCTCTCATAGAACCACAGTGAGGGTTAAATGGATTAAAAAGTATTCATGGGAAGTGCCCAAAGCACTGGTTTCTTCATCCCCAGGGTTTTCTTTGCAGCTCTCACTCAGTGTCTTGCATAGAACCCCATGCACCAAAGAGCCCTCCCCTTGACCTTGTTGTCATAATGTTCAGCCAGATCTGGACACAGTGTGCCCTGACATCAGACAACCTGTTCCCTCCTACTGGAAAGAGATCTGTGCATCACGTGGCATCTGGTGAGCGAGTCACTTGAGCCGACTGATAACTAGAAAAACAGGCTGAGATTGATGAAGTTAAAAATTGAGCTCAGCTTTCAGCCTCTCAGCCTCTTTCCTCCAAAGTCCCTAGACAAACCATATTCTGTGCTGTAAGGGGATCAGAAGAATTCTAGAAACCCAAACTACTTGAGCATCCCAAAATATCTTCCTGGACATGGGTGGCAGGAGAAGGCATGAGACAATTTCATTGCACCAACCTATCCCGTGGCTGGCTACATAAATGCTCCCAAATTTAAAAAGGCAAGATTAATTTTAAAATCCAGCTGGTGCTACACACAGGGTGCTGTTTACTCCTTTGTGTTACTCTGTGGTTTGTTGCATCTCTGCACCACCTGGTCTTTTTAGAGTGGAATTTCATTCTCATGTATTGTGGCTGGGAAGCGGGAGGTTCTCTCTAAGCCCAGCGATGGAGGCAGGGTGGATGCTGGGACAGGAGGGAACTGGCCTCAGGATGCTGACTCTTGGAACCCGGAGGTTTAGAAGCACACACACGTGTTTGTCCCCTGGAGACCTGAAGTTGCCTCATGGTCAGTGGGCTGGACCATTCTTCACGTCTGTTTTGATAGAACTTGTACATTCTTGTTTGAGGTGAGTGTAACAGCTCTGCCCTTATCTAGTGATCACTCCATCCTCTGGCCTGCTCTTGGTCCCTCTAAGCGATTTTTTGTGCACACAGGGAAGTTCTTTATCTGCATGAGAGTAGTGGTGACAGGACAATTGGAAAATCTTTCCCTCATATGCTGACCTTGCACAGGGGGAGAGGGCTTTGTTGAGAGCTGGCAGGAGTTAGTTTTAATGCAGTGGACCCCAGAGCTCCCAGAGGAAGGCTTAGGGCTCAGTGTCAAAGTTGGAGAAGAGGGGAGTTGAAGGGGCCAGGAATCTCTGTGCCATGGTGACAATGACCAAAGCCATCCTGGGTGCCCTGCAGTTGAACCAGGGTGGATATTCAGCGGGAATACAGGGGTGTGGATGGTGTCCATCCAACTGGTCAGCACCCTGATATCCTCGTTAAAAATTTTTACTGTCACCCCTGTGTTGTGTCCAAATGACTCCTGAGTGGAGGCGGGCCTGGCCCCAGCATTGGGTGATATGGAAGGTCCTAGTTGCTAAGGCCGACGGAGGCAGTTTCAGCACCAAGACCCTACAGGGAACTACATGGATAGAAGACGAGGCCCCAAGTCTCTTATCTCAAGAACTCAGGTGAATTTGGGCGTTTCTCCCATGACTATAGACACTACCCCAGAGATCTTAGGAGAGGCACATGTTGTCCTGCCAAGGTGCCAACTAGACTGAGGGCCCCAAACAGCTTGCTGAGGAGGAGCAGATAACAGGGGCAGCAAAGAGGGACTGCTGGGGGGCAGCTACAGCTGGTGTAATAGGAGCTCATCAAGCACCCCCAGAGGGCCGGGAAGGGAGTCTGCTGATGCTGGATTAGTGCTCAAACGGGTTTATTTGGATTTTCTGGTGCCTGTTGTCACATGAACAGCCTGGGCAAACAGTGAAGTGGGTGGGCCCAGCATCTCATTCCCATGTGCCCAGTGCCCCATTAGCCCTAGGGCCCTCCAGCCAGCCCTGTTCCACACCAGCAGAAACCATCGTCTCTCCTCCGAAGTGTCCCGTTCTCTTGGGGTGGCTGAGGAAACTGTCTAAAAGGAAATGAATGACCATAACTTAGTGTCTTTCACTCGCCCTCTCTCCCTCCTCAGCTCAATGCCCACCTCCTGGAACCATTGCTATTTTCTAAGAGGATCCTGGAAAAAACAGTGCCCAAAACCAAGGGGAACAAACAATCCTCTAATGGAAAAAATTCCTGCTAAGTATCCAAGCTTTTTTGTTTTTTTGGCTGCAGAAGCCCAAAACTCCACCTGTTAACCTCTGCCCTGTATTTACTTGTCCAGATAATATTGGCAAGGCGTGACCCGGGAACTTTGACCTGGAGCTCCCGCAGTCGTTTCTGGCCCCTGTCTGCTGCCTGTCTGCACCGTGGCTTCAGAACAGGGAAGGAAGCTTGGGGGGAAGCCCTGTTTCACCAGCTGTGTTTCTCCTGTGCTTCTCAGAGCATGGAACCTGGAGCGTGAGGCGAGTGCTCAGCAATTTGACCACTGTGGCGCTAAGTGTGGGGTCTGGAGAGCGGGGCCTTCAGAGCCAGGAGGTCTGGAAGGCTTCTCTGCATGTCCGCTGGTGTATTTCTTGTGTTCTGGTTTCCAGGAAATACAGGAGTCATTTCCTCCGTCTCTATTTTTTAAATTGTGTTATATTTGCTCAGTACCAGATATAAAATTTAGAAATTCACAGAAAACCTTGAGAAACAAAGATATAACAGCACAGAAATTTAATAATAACAATAATCATAACAAAGCTATAACAAACGATAGGCAAATCATCTGGATCTTGAAGGAGACAACTGATCCGTGACATTTCTGGAGGTTAGTGATCCACGGCTGAGCCTTCTCCCCATTCCTCCATCCCCTTTCATGAAGGGCGCCTCCTGCACTCCAAGCCAGTGACTGTGACTCCAGCAGGGAAAGGCGTGAAGGACCCACTCACTCTTTAGGGCCAAGAATTTTGGGGGCTACTGTGTCCAATCCAATCTATTTACAAGCTCAGAGTGCAGTTTTTCATACGATAGAGGGCAGAAGCTCTGCTAGCATACTTTTCCCAGATCTGTAGAATTCAAAAAAAAGAAGGACATTCAGTCGTGAGTCTCATCCTGGACACCTCCCACCCCCAGTACCTGCTCCTTGCCTGAGGCAAGGCTATGCAGAGGGCTCTCCTAACTGCATCCCCAGGTCTAGGGTGTTCCACTGTCCATCCAGCAACAAGTCTGGACACCTGAGTGACCTGTGCCCAATGCCACAGGAGCCAAGGCTGGGAGCTGGGCGAGGTCCCCATTACAAGTTCTGCCTATGATAGGAGAGCAGGCTGGGCAGTGCAGAGACAGCTCCACAGAGCGCTGCACTGACATGAAATCTTCATTTCAGTGAAAATCTCACTGGTGTAGGTACATTGCTCGTGTGCGTGATCAGCACGAGACAAGTACAGAAGCCCAGGTTTTCTCTTCTCAGGTACAGTGCAGCCTAAGCACTGCGAGAAACTTGTGGACCATGAGAAAGAGAGAGCCCAATTCAGAAACTCTCCCTTGAAAATCCCAAATTTCTCCCTTACTCTCTCTCTCCTCTTCTCTTCTCTTTCCCGCCTCTGCCTCTCTTTCTCTGTTTCTGATGACTGACCTAGCTTGACACATTTAGGAGCCCCTTCTTTGCCACTGACTTGCCATTAAGAACCATAATTCAAGCAAACAAACAAATGACTCCCTGGTCATGCCGAAGTCTGGTGAACGTGCTTACTGAGCTTGCTGTTCTCAACCACACCCTGCAGCCCCTGGTCCGCCTCGCCTGGCCCCTGGCATCCCAGCGATGGCACTTCCACAGCCTAGCTGAGGAGGCCCCACAGCGGAGAAGGTTGGCAGTGGTTCAGAATGAACTGGAGGCACCCTCATCCTGTGTTTCCCTGTGCTATCTGGGTGTCTCCTTTATCCATGGACTTCTTCCTCCTCTTCCCCTGCTCCACACCCTGCCCCTGACAAACCTTTTTATTCTTCCCCATTAGTCTACCAAACGAGGCAACAATCAAAAAACGGAAAAATATAGAAGTATTTGGGCATGGGGACTGTATTTACTGGGATTTATGGGTTGTAAAAAAATTGCTTCTCACTCTTCCATTCTGTTTTTCTTACCAATTTCAAAGATAAACTGAAGGGAGATATCTGGATCCATGAACTACAAGATTCTAATTCTAAATATTTCATTTTCCTTTAAAAAGCACCATAATTATGATCCATTATTCCACTTCTGGGTATTTATCCAAAGAATGGGAAACGTTAATTCAAAATGATATGTGCACCCCTATGTTCACTGCAGCACGATTCACAATAGCCAAGACTTGGAAACAACCTAAGTGTCCATCGAGGGACCAATGGATAAAGATGTGGTGTATATGTACAATGGAATTCTACTCAGCCATAAAAAGGTGAAATCTTGGTATTTGTGACAACATGGATGGACCTTGAGGATATGCTAAGCAAAATCAGTCAGACAGAGAAAGACAAATACCATATGGCTTCAGTCATATGTGGAAGATTAAAAAAAAACCAATAACAAACAAACACTTAGATAAAGAGAACAGACTGGTGGTTACCAGAGGGGAAGGGGGTAGGGGGAGAATGAAAGGAGTAAAGGGGGACATTCGTACAATGATGGATGGAAACTAGACTTTTGGTGGTAAACACAATGTTGTGTATACAGGAGTCAAAATATAATGATTTATGCCTAAGATTTATATAATGTTATAAACCAATGTTACATAAAAATTTTAAAAAAAGGAATTCTCCCATTTACCTCTTCCCCCAACCCTCTTCCATTAAATTCTTCACTCCTTATGCCTCTCCCCACTTATATCCCAATCCTCATTGCTTCTCCCCAGAAGGAATCAGTGACATAAGGATTGCTACATGGCCCCTAAGCCTAAGGCTCTCTCCAGCTGAGGCTTCTGGCTCTAACGGAGTCCCAACATCCTGTATCCATACGACTCTGTCCCCAGCACACTGGTATGTACCTTTTCTGAAGCTATTCATCTTTGTCACTGATCTTACCCCTTTGTAGCAGTGAGTTCTACAGGTTCAGGTTCACAGCCTGCTTCCCCTTATGGGGGCTAATTTAGTTCCTAGCAAGCTTCTAGGGGAGCTTTCTATCGTGGGCAGATCAGGTAAACTAGTTGACTTTTCTTTCACATTCAATATTTAAGAACATGCCCCTCCCCCAGCTTTTTGCCTTTCCAGGGCAAAGAGCCCCAAGAGTTTTACTTGGTCCTGATGGTACAGACTCCCCACCTTCGATCATTTCAGGAGCTCTGGACCCTTGCTGGCCTGATTATGGTATCAGAACTGCATCTGTTACCCGGAGGAAAGACTTTAGGGCTTTATGTCACCAACCTTGCTAAGTCTCATTCACTACCTTTAGACTGGACGCCGGGCATACTTTCGGCGATGGAGCTCATCCACTCGCTCCAGGTACCAAGTGCCTGGGAAAAGGCTGTTTGCATCACCAGGAGGTGAGAAATTCACTGTGGAACAAGGAGAAGAGTCAATATTCACAAAGAGCTCTTATGGGATTGGGGAAGAGAAAATAGTGATAGGGATGCCTATGGCTCACACAAAGCTCTCCTGGCTATGTTGCAAAGGGCTGTGAGGTCATCTGTAATACAGCTGATATAGCACTGGACCAACAGAAGAACCAGGAGGCACCATCTTGGATCTAGTACACAAGCGTTGGCTATTAGAAATTTTGTTATAGGAGTATGGCATTTTCCCACAGTCAACGTACCCTTCCTCCATTGAAATCTTCATTATGTCCTTTTGCCAATAGTACCTAGCTTGAGGTGTGCCTCAGAGCCTCCTGTTTTCCGATAGACACTTCCTTCCTAGGCCTGGGTTTTCTGACTCTGATTCATTGTAGTATTTCAGCATTTTCTCCATTAATGTTCATCTCTGAGGTCCTATTTTTATTTTAATTGTTTTTCTTCTTTGCTCTAAGATGTCCCCCATTCCAGATAAGATCAATCAATACTAGGTCTAGATTTTCTGGAATATTCGTAATTCTGTATGTTCTGTTTCCTTTTCAAACCACTCTGCAAACCGTGTGTCCCATGTTTTGCTTGAGAAAATATGTTAACCATGGTTTTAAAACCACCATCTGGTCTCTCCAGTCTTAACTTTAGTTTTTGTTTCCTTTTTCTTTGTTGCTTTTTTGGGGCAACAATTTATTTTTGTTTGGTAGAGAAAAGGGACAGTTGGGCGGAGGTAGTAATATTTGTTGATAACTTATTTATGTACCTTGATTCATTTAATCTATTTGTCAATCTTGAAAAGTTAATTTAATTTAATTTAATTTAATTAATTAATTTATTTATTTTTAAAATATTTTATTTTTCCTTTTTCTCCCCAAAGCCCCCTGGTACAGAGCTGTGTATTTTTAGTTGTGGGTCCTTCTAGTTTGGTATGTGGGATGCCACCTCAGCATGATGAGCGGTGCCATGTACCTGCCCAGGATCCGAACTGGCGAAACCCTGGGCCACTGAAGTGGAGCGCGTGAACTTAACCACTCAGCCATGGGGCTGGCCCCCTAATATAATTTTAGAAATGAGACACTTGAGAAAAGTTCAATATTTTTTCACAAAGATAAAGACCTAGTGAGTATCACAGGTCAGTTTAGAATTGGATATCTAGCTCCAAAGTGTAGGCTCTTTCAACTGTTGCATAGATAGCATTTTCAAAAAACCATACATCTGGCTTCCATGGGACTATATTGTCCAGTATCCTGTCTTGGGGTGTTAGCTACAATCTATTCTGGGAAGACACATACTACCTCCTGCCTCTTCTCAACTCTGCCTTCTGCTTCCCCACCCGGTTCTTTCCCTGTTGGACCTAGCAGATTTTCTCCCAATCGTGTCTCATGAACGTCTTCACCATGTCCCGGTATATTCTAGACTTCTGATGAATCCCTGGCCCTCAGGTAATGGCATGGAATCTGAGAAAAATTGCCTTCTCCTCCTCTCTTCCTGCCCTTTTTCTTACCCTTGTGGTAGAAGTGTTCTCTTTCATCCATTATTTCTGTGAACTCTTCGGGAGACATACGCTTCCGAGAGGCGAGGCGTTTTGGCAGGTCTGATACACTAGATACCAGCTTCTCCAGTGGGGAGCCTGGTAAGCAAAAATGAGATTGTTAAATCTCCTTCATGGTCACTATCACTGCTGCCAACCATGAGTCCACTGAACAGCCAGGCTCTGTGGGAGCTCAGACTCTGCGGGAAAGTGCTCTGTGTATGGCTTAGACTGTTGAGAAATGATAAAGGTCAGCAAACGTAATGTTGCGGAACATTCAGAGACACACACTCATTTAGTCATGGTATACCCACATAGCACTTAGATGTGTGCCCTTGATTATAGCCATCATAAAATAATCAACAAATATTACTGGATATCTCGAATCCATCAACTTCTTTTTAATCAGTTGCAACCAACCACCATTACCTTTTGCCTGGACTATTTGCTGGAACAACCTGACTTGTTCCCCCATATCCACCTTTGTTCCTCTTCAATCTAATCTCTAAGTCTTAGCAGGGGAAGTGCTTCAAATACCTAAATTAGACAAACTTACTCCATTGCTTAAATCTCTTCAAGGATTTCCTTTGCTCTTAATCACAACATAATTCTGTCAAGAGGGGAGGTAGTTGTGAGGCAGTTTCTTTTACCTGATGAATCCTGCCAGAAGTTTCTGACAGAAAGACAAGACTCACCTGGAGAAGCATTCTGGGATGCTCGAAATGAGAAAAAACTTGCTGCCAAGCCAGAGCCATAAGAGAAGGCACCAATCCTGGAGCCAGCCAAGTCTTGGGCAGAGTGCCTGTAGGGAAAGAAATCAACCCCCTAAAAAATCGGCATCGTATTCTGTGCTTCGAATAAACCACCAACCTATCAGCCCAAGAGTCGACCTCTTGCAACTAGAAATGGGTTCTGGGCACTCTACACAAGGAGAGACTTTTGGGAGACTGGGGATAGGCCCAGAAGGAGGAAAACTTGCCGAGAGGAGAGTAGCTAAAATCCAAGATACAGAAGACACAGAGAGCACAACAGAATTTCAGGGTGTAAAAGGAACTTTTCCCCACCCAGGAGGACAAGATGAGTTCAGGGAACTCTGAAGGCATCTCCAAGTGGAGAGCAGACCACTAGACTCACCTTCAAGGCTCTCGTGTTGACTGGTAATGCTTCAGCAGTTGTAACTTTTATCATAGCCTCATTAGTAATAACTTGAGCAAGTGCACTCATATACATATACATATACATATATTTTCCTGTGTTATATACATGTACTATAGTACAAGTATTTCCTTATGAAACCCACAAAATAGAATATCAAGAGAAATAATAACAATTATGTGAGCACCTGCTGAGTATTACTGTTTTCATTACTTTAGACATTTAACACTCATCAAAATCCTAGAAAGCAGGTATTGCTATTGTTCATATTTTATAGATGGGGAAAGTGAGGCACATAGAGGTTAAGTATTTCTCCAAGGTCAAAGCTAATAAGTGGTAAAGAGATTTGAACCCAGGTTGTGGGCTCTAAAGCTAGACTCTCTTCATCACCATGCTTTACTAAGTACAGAGATTTTAAATGGATGAGATAAAAATATGCATAAAAGTTCTACTATTTTCTTGCTACATCCAAATGGACCTTGTACTTCCCCTGACATCATACTTGCACTTCACTTTAGAGACCACTGTTTAATACCGATAGTAAGTATGCCTATATATACACCTTTGAAAGAAGTTTCTTTCATTTTCCTTCCTTCCTTCCTTCTTACCTTCCTTCCTTCCTTCTCTCCCTCCATCCCTCTGTCCCTCCCTCCCTCCTTCCTTCTTTTCTTCTTTCCCTACTTCCTTCCCTCCCTCTCTTCCTCCCTCCCCCCACCACTTTCTTCCTTCTTTAAACAATTCTGAAACAGAAGAGGAACCACACCTGATTAACGCCTCAGACGGTGGGGCTGGGGGTAGGAGGTGGGGCCAGAGGCAGTACTCACTGGGCCAGAAGTGAGGCCAGGCACCCATAGAGAGATGAGGTGTACGTATTCCCATTGTGCGTGGAAAGGTAAAGAGAGGCCTTGGTTTTCTTGTTGAATATGTCCAGAGAGGCCTTTTGAAGTGCTTTATCCATGTCCTTGTTGGTGTAGGTGTCTTCCAGCTTTAGCCCCCTGTGAGGCAGCCAGAGGAATAGGCAAGTGAGAGGCCACCGGAGAGGAGGGAGGCAGCAAGGGGGAAAGTAACAGCTCTGGAGAGAAGACTTTGGGCACATGTTTTTATTATAGAATATTTGAAATACAGAAAAGCACAAAGAAAAAATGTCACTAATGGTTCTACCATTCAGAGAGAGCACTTAGGTCATACTTTTTGTGTAGAATCCATCCCTACCTGCAGACTGTTTACTGGAAAATAAAAGCATGCTGCACATTCTGTCTAGCATGCTTCCTTAACTAACTTTTCTCAATGACATTAAATCATCTACTGTAACATTGTTTTTAAAGGGTGCAGAATGGGCCATGATAAGATGTACTCGACTTTAAGCTTTCTCCCCATTCCTGTCCTCACTAGTTAAAACACTACAGTGAATAGCTACATGTTCTTTTAAACATGTGGAATTACTGAGTCAAAAGGTATGTGTATGTTTAAGGCTTTTTTTTCTTAAAGATTGGCACCTGAGCTACATCTCTTGCCAATATTCTCTTTATTTCTTCTTCTTCTTCTCCCAGAGCCCCCAGTACGTAGTAGTATATTATAGATGTAGGTCCTTCTGGTTGTGCTATGTGGGACACTGCCTCAGCATGGCTTGATGAGTGGTACTAGGTCCGTGCCCAGGATCCGAACCAGCAAAGCCCTGGGCCACAGAAGTGGAGCACACAAACTTAACCACTCGGCCATGGGCTGGCCCACATGTTTAAGGCTTTTGCTTCAAGTTTTTCTATTACTCCCCAAAACCCTTGTATCAATATATACATCCACTATTGCCCATTTTCAGATAGCCTAGTCAATTCTCAGTATTCAGATTTCAAAAAGGCTGTGTAAAGAAAATGGTAACTTGTTTAAATTTGTTACTAACAAGTATGCAGATTTAAAAATATTATTATATGCATTTCTACTTTGAGGAAATTTCTTGTCCATATCCTTTGCTCAGTTTTCTACTTAGAGTGTTTATCTTATTATTGATGAGACTTTAATACATTACAGATATTAAGCTATTATCTTTGATATATGTTAGAATTTCTGTTTTCATGGGACAGGTCTTATAAGCAGTGTTTGTACTAATTTTGATGTTTTAGTTAGGGGCAGGGTTAGTAGTAGTAGTTAGTAATAGGGGCAGATGTTGGTAAAATACTCCAAAACTTGAAATAAGCAGATACCAAGAAGAAAGGGAAAGATTCCCCTCCCAGTGGAAACTCTTTGTATTGAAGATTCTTTTCTAAATGTCTTGAAGTCATGCATCAGTAAACAGCATTCATCCTGCTTTATTGACATCTGAGGGGTTGAGCTATCCCCATTTCACAGATGGGGGAAATTGAGGCAACAAGCAAGACATTAATTAGGCCAATGGCAAGTGAGAATGAGACCAGACACTCCCCAACTTGCCATCCTATACTGTGATTATTTGCTTCTAGGTGTTTCTGTCTGTAGAGACTGTGAGATCCTCTAGGCAGGGATCATGGAAGCACATCCATTTTTGCGTCCCTAGAGTTTAGTGTGACGCCTGACACATAGCTGATGTTTGTAAAATGTTGATTGATTGAATGATTTTGCCACACTCCCTTTCCCCATTTTCTCATTCTCTGAAGCTTCTTATAGTCACTTGATCTAGAGGTACTGGCAAACTCTCTGTGCTCCCTGAGATAAAAGCTGGAGGGCCCTGGGCAGACAATAATCCATTTGCCTACCAATGACTTGGTTTCCTTTCTGTTGCATTGGAAGAGTGTCCTTTTTTCCCACAGGAGTGGAGTGGCATGAGGAAGCCTTTAGGCTCCCCATGAAGAGGACTCACCTGAAGGCCTCCAGCTCCTTGTAGAGGCTGGTCTGTGTGTCTTTGCTGGTTGACAGGAAGTCATTGAACATCAGGCGAGCCAGGGATTTCTGGGCCATCTTGCAGAAGGGTGTGTGAAAGATCATAAACTGTAAATCATCAAGGGTGAAAGGTCGATCCATGCCAACTGGAAGGGGAAGTGTGAAAGCAAAGATGTGGCATGATGCATGGGCCATTTAGAGCAATTGTCCTAGATCTAACCGTGCTGAGGGACTCTCGGCCTCCCAGAGAACTAGCTCCTACCTCCACAAACACACACAAGGTTTGTTCATTAGTTTTACAAGCACTAACACTTACTAAGCACTCTACTTATAAGGAAAAAAAGCAAAGAAATAAACATTTTCTTCATATCTACTATTGCCAACCTCTACGACAGATACTTTCCCCGAATCAAACTTGTGCTGTATTATTTTCTCTATTTTCCAGAGGAGGAAACAGAGTCTCCAAAATATGGAAGCTACGTCAGGTGTCCAAGGTCACCCAGCTTGAAAATGGCTGGTTCTGGACTTAGGTTCCGATGTCTCTGACTCGATGTTCTAGACTGTCTCTCTCACTCCAAAGACGAGGGCAATGCACCTTCTGCCCTTAGAAAATTTACAATTTAATGTTGTGATCCAAAGCAGCATCCATTGAATTCCATATGAAAATAAGGAGTAAAATTAGAATGCCATAAGAATGCAGAAGAGGTGAGAGTAGTTAGCCAAGAGCAATTTGACAGTGGATGGAGAGAGGCAGAGAGGTCCAAGTTGCCTCCATACCCATGGAGGGTGGCTGTGGCAGCCAGCATCCTACCCAACGCATGGAAAGGGGCAAGAAGTGTCTCCTTATGCCACCCTTAAGGCATCCATGCTCTGACCTTTCAGCACATGCCTTTTCCCATACCGAAACCTGCCTTTTGCAGATGCCCATCTGAGCATGGCTGAGCAGATAAGAACCCTTTTTAATTTTTTTAAAATAGGTTTCTCTGTATTTTTAAAAGAAGATTTATTTGTTTCTTTTCTGATAATGAAAGCAGTACATATTTTTTTAGCAGGAAGATTCAGAAACTAAATGCGAAAATAAAATCAACTTGTAACACTACCATCCAGAGAAAAATCACTGATAATGTGTATTGCATTAGTATACCTTTGTATACTGAAAATATAGGTGAGATTTTTCAAGATCAACCAGATCTTAAAAGGTGGCAGACTACACCAAGAGTCAAAGCACTCCTGACTCCAACAGAAACAAATCCCAGCCCCAATAGGATGTGGTTACTCGGCCTCACCACAGTACCTCCCCAGGCGGCTGGCACCCGCTGGTTTCATACTCGTGGCTTTGACCCTGAATTGTTTACTTTCTTTCATTTAGCTCAAGTTAGAGGCAATTTCATACTTGAATTTGGATGACTTCCAATTGGACTTTACCATAGACCCAGGGAAGGGTGTAAGAAGAAGGGGGCCTGAAACAATTCTCTTGAGATCATTTTCAGAGGAGAGAAGACACCTTGTCTTAAGCTTTTAGGACAAACTCTTGGCCCCGTGTAAATAGAGCCCCCACTTTCAGCCCTCCAAGCCCCATACCTTGCTTCCACTGGTTCTGGATTTTTTGACGGTATGTTGTGTAACATCGGTCCAAGGCCTGTAAGTAGCACTGAATGGAGAGCTTCCCATCCACAATCGGGTACTCTGAAGTTGCATCAGGTTTGTAGAAGTCATATACATTCTCCATGTGGGTTCCTCTAAGCCCTGGGAAGGTACACAGAGGGATTCAGGGACTGCACAGTGCAGCCCACATCCAGCAGAGAGGATGGGAGAGCATGTACAAACAGCCTCCTGGTCTTGATGTCTCATGCCCAAGCTCCAGCCCACTCAACATCCTGCACATGCTCAAAGGGAATTGAATAGCTTGTTGCTCTCATATAAATGAGATTTATATTTCCTTTTTCACACGTACATGGGCTTAACAAAACCTGGATTACAAGCCAAAAGTCTCAAAGGAAAGCCTTTCACTTTATACCTGGGTATCTTCTTACATCTTCAATTGCCAGTTTAGCTCCCTAAGTGTCCTCAGCAGCAGCAGCAACACCATTCATTCCGTGCATCATTATCCTAATGTGTGATGGTGCAGAGGAGAAAATCTCGCTGATCCTCCTCTTCCTCCTTGCCCTCTGCTCCCTAGTCCAGCCTTTTGAAGCAAGTGAGATCATCCCCAAATCTATACATCCACCCTGAGTAGTGGGTATGCCAATTTGGGATTCGGAACTATGCATTTGGCTATGCCATGCATAGTTTCTTGGTACCGTATATCCACAGTTTACTACAAACCTCTCTCCAGAGCCAGAGGTGCCTCGGGCCCAACCAGCATTGCCACAGCTCCAGCCCCACCTGTGGGGCGAGCATTACCACTGGGATAGACTGCGATGTCTCCACAAACCACCAGTGCATAGCGACCTATAATGAGAGGCAAGAAATAATGATCATCACCACAGGATCTGCAGTAGGCTATGTGCCCACTGTGTGCCAGGCAGAATTTCCCGTACTGGAGATAGACCAAGGAACAAAACCAAAAGTTCCTGCCCTATGGGCTCATGTTCTAGTGAAGCTCACTATGATACATTTGAAATGCGAAGCCAAAACTCAGCGTCCTGTTACTCTAGCTGTAAAATGCTCATTTATTCACAATCCTGTTTTTGAGTTCAATGAAAAATTTATTCATTGGCACTTTTGGAGAAATTTAGGGTTGTGCTGATCACCATATAGCACTCCATGGTCCTAAAATTCCTTCCAAATCACAGAAGGCCAAGAGCTAGGGAGGGAAACTAACATTTGAAATGCTAGCTAGATACTAGTTATCCTCAAACAATCCTTAAAATAATCCAATGAGGTGGGTAATATCCACATTTATGGATGAAGACCTTGCCTTCCAGAGAAATTAAGTAGCCATCTAAAGTCACTCATCTAGTGAATGTGAACTTTGATGTTCAAACTCAGTTCTGACTAGATCTTAAACCATGTGCTTTGAACAACTTAGTACTACTTTCTGTTGAGTAACCACATTTAATGTAGATGATCCATAGAAATTTCCCCTATAATAGACTATTATTCAATAAGTGATTGTTGTCTTGACTGTTATTTGTTCCACTTTCATCTTATAGTACTGCCCTTAAAACTTGAGTTTATGGGGGAGATATGGTAGTAAATTTAGTATTCTATCTAACCTGTGAGGAAACCCCAAGTATTTATCTCAGCACTGTATTGGGAGTCATATTTCCATATAATTTAATCCTTATGATAAGCCTAGATATTGGATCCAGTTATCTCTTTTTTATAGACAAAGAAATTGAGGGCCAAAGAACTTAAGTTGCTTGCCCAAAGCCACACAGCTAATAGATGGTAAGATAAGGATTCAGAGTCAGGATTCCAACCAAATGCATTAAAACCCAGGAAACTTAAGAATTCTAACAACTCCAACTCAAACCTCAACAAAATTGTATTGCTTTTTCCCCAACTTTATACGTATATATATAGGAAACTATAGAAGCACATTTAGAAGCCAATAAGGAAAAGAACAGTAATAAATAGAGATAAGAATAATTTGTACCATGTTTAAAAATCTGAATAGATAAGTGTATGCTTGCAGGTACATAAGAACATTCTGAAAGAAAACAGAAATTTTTAGTGTTAAATTCTGGGAAGTTGTAATGGAGTATCAGATGGGAACTTTCACTTCACTTCACAGCCTTTTGTGTATGTGTATATATATATTTTTAACTATAAGTTTCAGTTACTTTTATATAAAAAAAAAAAAGGACAAGAAAAATGAGGTCGTCCAGGCAATCTGAGCCAGTATCTCTCTTCCTTTCCCTCATACCTGGCTGTCTCTCTGGAGTGGTTCAGAACTTCCTGGTGAGTCCCAGAACCACCTCCTACCATCTCATGGTCCCCAGGTAGATGGTTGGTCAGGTCAGAAGCAGAGATCTCATCTACATTGGCCTTGTCTGATCTGGGCAGTTGCCATCAGGCTCAAGCTTAAATATGATTTTTGGTTTAATACAAGCTAACAATTCACATCTCAATAGTTTCTTTAAAAATTTTCTTCCCCATAAAAACATTATATTAAAGAAAGATGCACTTGTAGCCCTCTCCTGTGGAATACTCAGCCACTCAGCACAATTTATTCATTTGAAATGACATGCTTGAAACTGATGATGCTCCCAAATATTGGCTCTGACCTTTGGTTAAAGGCTGGTGAGTGTTCCTTGCCCTTCATTTCTACTCTCCAACTAAATGCTTGGGTGGATGTATTGGTGGTGATGGTAGTTGGGGTTGCTTGAGAAGTAATAATGTAAGTGACAGGAGAAGCACTGTAAGAACAAATTTGATGATGTAGAGACTGGAACATTCCAAGTCAATGGAACCATTACTGGTGAGGTGATGCAGGGCAGTTAAAAAACACGGAATGGGTGTATGAAATTGCACTACCTTGCTGTGTCAACAGAGATAAACCATTAAACTCTTCTTGGTGGCTCCTTTTAAAATAAGGAATATCGGATTAGATAATCTCTAAGATCGCTGCCAACATTAAGGCTTCCTAATTAATTTTCTAATCAATGTTCATTATGGTTTCTAAGGTTTTAAATTCTAGTTTCCAACTTAGTAAATATAGAGTGCCTTGACTTCCTGGTTATTGTTCTTTCACATCTCCACAGATATTTTACTCAATCCTTTCACCAGCCCACAAGGTAGGTGGCAAATAAGAACTCTGAGGCTCAAAGAGGTTAAGGGACTTGTCAACAATTATTGACAGAGCTAGGTTTCTGACTTTCAACTTGTCCTGTTTCCCTTGGACCCTGTCTTGCTATCACAACAGGGGTTCTTCCTCTAATATAATATTGAGAGAAGATGTAAGTAAGATACAAGGCAATGTTAAGCAAAAAGTAATTTCCTAGGAAGTCCTTAGGTCCCTAGGCAAGGGAGAAAGAGTAGAAATACTCTTTGTCATGGTGTATTCAGTGATTCTCTGGATCTGTTTCTATCACTGTGTTTTCCCCTTAATACCTAAACTTGTTAAAACCTTTCAACATCACTGATCTCTTTCTCTCAGAGACTTTAGGAGAAGCTTAAGAGAAATAGGTACAGTGAAATAGGAAATACATTGGATTTGGTTTGGCATCTCACCCCTGCCACACACTATGTGTAAGATATCAGATCTTGGAGTGGTTAAGTTTGTGCACTCCACTTTGGCAGCCCATGGTTTTGCCAGTTTGGATCCTGTGTGCAGACATGGCACTGCTCATCAGGCCATGCTGAGGTGGCATCCCACATAGCACAGCCAGAAGGACCTCCAACTAGAATATACAACTATGTACTTGGGGGGCTTTAGGGAGAAGAAGAAGAAGAAGAAAAGAAAAAAAAGATTGGCAACAGACGTTAGCTCAGGTGCCAATCTTTAAAAAAATGAAAAGATACCAGATCCTGCATTTTTTCATTTATAAATCAGGTATAGCACTCACTTCCTAGGCTGCTGTAAGGACTAAATGAATGGCTATGTGAACATGCTACCTAATTAACTGCATAAAGCTATACAAGTCTAAGTGGTTATTATCATTGTGGTTATTGGATGATAGCAGCAGCTGTGTGAATAACTTGTCCTTCTCTCCCTGGATAAAACCACCTGGGGAACAGAGAAGCAAAACTGAGGATTCAGCCTCCAACCCCAGCTCCTTTCTTACAAAGGGCCTCTGGCAGCACATACCATCCCAGGAGCTAGATTCCATCCAGTTGGCAGCATTGAAGAGGGAGGCAGTGCCACCATAGCAGGCGTTGGTGGTATCTATGCCCTCAATGTCAGTGTTGCCCGAATCCTGGAAGAGCTCCATGAGCACTGTTTTGACAGCCTTGGACTTGTCGATGATGGTCTCAGTGCCCACTTCCAGCCGTCCCACAGAGTCCCATGGGAGCTGCGTGCGCTCCATCAGCTGCTGCACCACCGTCAGGCACAGGGAGTTGATGTCCTCCTGGACGGAGCAGAAGCCCATATGGGTTTGGCCTAAGCCCACTGTGTACCTCCCTGCTTCCACATTGTCATACTTCTCCAGGTCCGTTTGGTCCACATACTGGGCTGGGAAATAGACCTCCAGGGCAAGGATGCCGACATCCTTTGGCCAAGTATCCGTTTTGGCCAAGGGGACAGCAGGGACTGCAGAAAACCTGTAGTGGAGATAATAATCAAAATCCCACTAATGGTCTTCAGTCAGTTTCCTCAAAAGACAATACAGCAATCATTTCATTCATTTTTTATATATTTTTAAGCTATGTTATCAGATAAATACAAATTTAGGATTCAACAAAATCTTTCTGTTGAGTTAAACCTTTTATCCTCAATAAACGTCCGCTTCTTTACCTTTGTGATAATCTTGCCATAAAATCTACTTTTCCTGATAGTAAGAATTTTGCCCTAGCTGTTTGATTACTGTTGCATGATATATCCTTTTTTGTCCGTTTAAACTTTTAACCTCTTAAGTTCTTTACATTTAACATATATCCCTTCTAAATAGCATATAGTTGGATCTTTTTAAAAATTTTAAAAAGTCTTGCAATATTGGTGTTTTAATTGGAGTAATTAGTCCAGTTATATTTATTATGATTACTGATATAGTTGGGATTAAGTATACTTTCTCACAATTTGTTTCTATTTGCCTCATATGGCCTTTGTTTCTTTATTTCTCCTTTCCTGTATTCTTTTGGATTAAGCACATATTTGTTATTCCATTTTATCTCCTCTTTTTCTCTTAGTAATGACTCTAGAGATTACAATGTGCATTCTTTGCTCATTGTAATCTAACTTAAATTAATACTTCTATTACTTTTGGAACAATGCAAAAACCTTAGTTTAGTTAACTTCCTATATCCTCTCCACCTTTGGAGCTATTATTGTAGATAGTTTACTTCTACACGTTACAAACCCCATAGGACATAATTTTTTAAATTTCATTCATTTTTAAAGTACCCCACTCATTATCCCTCTTTCTCCTTCTTTCTTTTTCCTATACAAGTACATACCTACCATTTTTATACTTTTTAAGGAAGTTTTCTGCTTGATTTCATGCTGTCTGCTTTTTCTGATGGGGCCTCACAATCTTTACTGAGTACACTCAACACAGTGCTGGGTTCCAGGTGCACAGTAGTGAATAAGACACATCCTTTGTGCCCACAAAGAGGGCACAGTCTAATGGAGGAGGCAGACATTTTTACAGATAAATACATAGTGAAACAAGCAAAGGCTGTGAGAATACAAAGGACAGGAGAGCAATTCTAGATGGGAGCAGAGAGAAAATGGGGAAAGGGTCAGTAGAAGAGGGGAGAGATAATCTCTTCCTAGAACCATCCCCCTCTCTTCAACCCTGACTTCTAATACCCCTGGTGAAGATCTGGAGTTTCTCCTTCTAGCTCCAAGTACAGAGCTTACCAAGTCCTCCTCCCATATGTTTCCACATGAAAGTACCTGAAAGCTGGTTACTTTAGTGATAGCCTTCATTTTGAAGAATGAAAAGGTGAAAAGATGAAACCAAGGCACACACTGGTGAAGTGATGTGTTGAGACTAACTTTATCGTGTGTCATATGTTAGAAATATTCTGTGTTTTCACTGCCTTGGGTGCCAATGTTACACCTTGGACCTATACTTGTGAGTGCCACCAAGTTCCTGTGACTTGTATCTGGCTACAGAATTCCCAGTCATGGAAGAGCGACAGGATATCTCCACCGGCTTATAAATTTAGCTCTATGCCACAGGAATAACAACTCAGGTTGAATGTGTCTATCTGTCATCCTCAGAATTCTGGGCTTCTGGTAACCCTAGTTTTCTCATCAGGAAGGTCACTTTGAAGGACTAATGTGAGGCAAAAGTGGATCATATGATCACAAGATAGTGAGGCAAATGACAAATGTTCATCCATATCTGATGAGAGAGGTTTGGAATTTTGTTATCTGCCCTATTTATTTGGTGCCCCCCTCCCCCAAATAATTGGAGTTTATGTTCTCAAATATTTGTGGAGTTGCTTCCCCAGGACCTAGGAGCTAATGGTTATTCAATGCTTGGTCCTGTGCTTGGCTGGCTTTTCCCTCAGCATCATTCTCACTCTGCCTTCTCTGAGCTCACCTCCTCCCTCCCTCTCTTCCCAGTTAGAAATCTAAGGTTGCAGGGAGAGGTTCCAAGAATCAGTCACTTGGTAACTTTTGTAACTGTCTTGGCAGGGGGATGTTTCTGGGAATGGATTCCAGAGCCTTGAAGAAAAGTTAACATCTAGAGGCTTCCAGAAACATCAGGCCACCGGAGTTAAGAGTATCTTTCTCATCTTGTACTTTCTCTAAAGAATAACCGCTTAATTTAAAATCGGGTTTGTTCTGCTGTTGCTTGGTTCAAGAACCTGCATCAAGCTTTTATTTCTTTACTCCATCTCGCCTCCTTCCCTTGTGTTTCAAAATTTGTTATTACATGCCAGGCACTGTGCTAGCGAGAGGCTGCAAGGGTGAAGGGGGTGGGCAAAAGAAAAGAGGAGCTCAAGGTTCTTGAGGAGTTCCTCGACCAGTGGGAGGAATGAGATAAGCACATATACACACACATACACAACCCAACCGAGAATCAGAATATGATAAGGGCCACAAAGGGATATGGGCACAATCCCACAGGAGTTCAAAGGAAGCAGAGATTGCCTGTTGGGGGGAGGCTCAGGAAAGGCTTCATGGAAGAGGCTACATTTGAGATCAACCTTGATGGATGGGTGGAGCTTCTGCTGATGAAGAATGGGAGGGGGGTTGCAGGGGCAGCAGCCGTGACAGGGGGTGATTGAACAGGTAAGGATACCTGGAGCGGAGAGTGACGGGGAGTAGAGAGACGATACATGAGAAAGGCAGGAGCAGCACCACGAAGTGGAGGACATGATTCTTCCTTGAAGGTAGTAAAACAGATGCTGAGATGGGAGCAGTTCTCAGGTTGGATTGAGAGCTGATGCAGGTTGGGTTAGAGGGGAAGGACACACGGAGACAAGGAGACCCATAAAGAGGATTCTTAATAATCATTTAGGCCACTGAAAATGGGATTAGCTGTGAGTAGATCTGAAAGGGGATTATGAACGATGATTCCAAGGGCTTGAACTAATGATGTCAGGGGAGGGGCAGGCTGGTCAGGACTGAAGTTTGTCTCTTGGCGGGTGGCCAACTATTGCTTATTGAAACAAGCAAATCTACGTCAAGCCCTTCCTCACAAATACAAAAACAAGTTAAATTCTAAGCTGGGACATTTGATCAGTACACAAGGGATAGGTGAGTGCGTAGACAATGGTGGAGAGTCACAAAGAAAAGAAGAAGGCTAAGGAGCACTACTCCCTACCCCACACATCCATACAGCCAGGTTCCCTGGGTACCAGACAAAGGAAGACACTAGATCAAAGTCATTGTTCTAAGTATTCAAGGAATGCGGTGTAGAAACGGGAGGAAAGAAAGGGCTAGTCCCAAGATGCAGTGTATGGCTTAGGGATCCTGAGGGGCTAGCTATAGCTGTGTTACCACCAACACTGGGAGACGGCAAGCACTTGGGCCAGATTTGAGGAGTGTTTACAAAGAAAAGGAGTGCTTTTGCACTTCGGTGCACAAGCACATTGCACACATACGCACAAACACATTACATACACACATGCTCACCTTTACATCTCATTTCCCCCTTCTTGAAATCAGAGGGCAGAGAAACATCCTTTTTATCCTCAGTGCATTTCGAGCTTTGCTGCAGTGACTCGGAACAGTTGGTTATACTAACTCTGCAGTTGGCACAGAATCCTGAAGGTCTTGGCTGGGACTGGGGGTCAAGATGCGAAAGGTGGTGGAGAGGGGAATGCTGTGGGCCCTGGTGCTGATATTTCCACTGCTTTGTGCAGCTAGGGGAGTAAGAGATGTCATTTACAAATAGCAGGTGTCAGAGGTTCGGGATCCTGGAATTCTGCAGCTGAAAGGGGCTGTCTGTTTAAAGGATGAGATAACTGAGACCCTGAGGCCCCCTGCCTATCTTTTACTGGTTCCATGGCTTTTCTCAAAGAGTAACCTGTACAGTCCCTGAGATCAATGTGACTCACCTTTGGTGGGCTGCTGGAAGAAGGCGAGCAGGCATGAGTGGAGCTTCCTGCATCACTCTTTTCACTTGCAAGACCCGCTTCACTGGAGTCAACAGCCGCTGCATTTTCAGAGGAGCAAGCAGAAAGCCAGCAGTTCACAGTCTTTGGGAGAGATGCCCCGCGGTGCCCAGTTGGGCTTTATAGAGCCCTGAGACTCCTGCCTCGGAAGACCCACCCCTGCTTATCAGGGCTCAGTTGGCTTCTAAAACTGGTCCAAAGGTCTCGTTCAGAACACGAGTGAGTCAAAGAAAAACATCTTCCCTCCAATGTGTACATAGCTGCCCTGCTCCTGGGGATGTGTGGGCATCGATGGCTCTGACTCCTTTCTCGAGCTCTTGTGGCAGCCTTCTTTATGCACAGCCCCCTCAGGAGGCTATGATGTTCCTTGTTGTAACACACCCTGAGGTAACCCCACCTGGCTTGTCTGGGGTCCTGGTTCCTCATCTGAGTTACTCTCCTTTGGTGGTCCAGAATGCTTTCTGTGGAGTTAGCTGTTATTATTTTAGTGTATTATGCATAATAAGAAAAATCTTTCAAAACCAAAAGGAATGAATCTTTTATTAGTAGCCCTTTAGTAGTTGGGAGTTGGTATTGGCATGAGGGCAGAGGGAATGGTATTAGAGAGGTTATGGAGCCTGTTATATTTCTCCTGTCTCTGTTGTTACTCTTTACATGTATAGTTCCACCCAGTTTCCAAGTGGAGTATGCAGTATGCTACAGTAGGAGCACATGAGCCTCAAAGCATTGACTGTCATTTGAAGCTCAAGTTCTCCTGAGGGTACGGTCTACTTACAGATGAGGCCAGTGATATGTAGACAGGTGACAGGACCTTCCCAAAGACCTACAGCTAGTAGGTGGCAGGGTGGGGACTCAGTCATATCTGTTGACTCCAGATTCTGGTCTTTCCACTTTGCTCTGCTACTTCTCAGTAAAAAGGTTCCTGCCATCTGATTTTCCAATGACTCTCTGCCTCCATCCTTTTCTCCTGGCACCAATCTTCCTTTATCTTTTATGAGAGTCATGACTTGATTCATTAGTTCATTCAGTTAACTCTCCTGTCTAATATGACACTGGAGAGTTAGAAGAGAAGAGCCAGAGTAGTTTCTGCTTTAGAGGAGACTGAGGTGACAATTTTCCTGAAGACAGGGAACTTCCAGGTGTCCCCAGAAGTCCAAGTACCTTAGATCTTCCATCATCTTTAGATTCTTGCCTCCAAACATCTTGATGCATTACTGCTCTAACCAAATCTTCCACCTCACTCTGTCACCATATGCCCTTTCACTGAGCCTTTTGCAAAGTTCTGTCAGCAATTTAAATTCTTCACTTTCACTCTTCTCTGAAAATGTCCTTTGCTTCTTGCTGTATTTCAAACTGTAGCTCTCAAATGGTGGTTGTGCTCTTTGCCTCCCCCGCATCTTCACCCCCTGGCCGCTAACACCCAATGTACCACAGTGCTCAGAATAAGGCAAATGTCCTCTTTGTTCTGCATTGATACTTTACTTTGCATTGATACAAAAATACTTCTGTATTTTTCCTCTCCCTCCTCTCAAAAGCCCCACTCTTTTCAAGCACATGACATCAGCCTGGGCCACCCAGTGACCTTTGTTCTTTCAGTCAACTAACAATCTTGTGCCATTCCCCTCATTCATGGAGACTGAAGCACGTGGATCACTGCCTTCCTCCCCACCATCAGTCCTCGCAACATTCTTGAAGATGTCAATCTCCACACAGATAATACATCCACTCTGGCCTCTCACTTAAATTCCCTGTTCCATGATCTTGTCCTCCACATGACTTCAGCTTCCTACTCCACATTCATGCTCTCGACTTTGTCATTACAGTATCTATACTACCTCTAAAATTTTAATTTTATGCAGCCCGTTTTCTAACAATATCTTTCCAGCTCACTTTTAAAGTACCCTCACCTTTTTCTACCACTGGGACCACCATTGACTCCTTTTTCACCATTATCATACCTCATTACCTCTTTTCTCTCTTTACTTAGTACAGACTACCCATGGTGCATCACCATAAACAATCCCTTGCACACGTCTTGACGAACACTCTCTCTGTCAGACTGGCCAAGCAAACCTTCAACTTTGGTTAAACTCACTCTTGGTCTACTCTATGCCTGTACCCAAGCAGCTAAACATGGCAGAAGAAAAGCACAACATTGTACCGACTAGTTAGCTTTACATTTACAACCACACATCTCAAGTGGACCCTCAGCATGGCCTGGCAATTCTACTACATTTTCCTGGTCCATGCCCTCTACCAATCCCAGGATAGCTCATCACAACTTCTCTTCTGTCTTCAGCCCCTCTCCTCCGCTCATTCTTAGCTGATTACTTTGACTCCTATTTCACTGAGGAAACAGACACAATCAGAAGAGAACTACTACATTTCCATTAGCAAATTCAGCAAATTTGTTGCTTCCACACCCCATACTCTGTCTTCGCACTGTTCCTATCTAAAGGAACAGTCCCAGTTCTGGTTTAAGACCAAGGTCACCATTGCATACTGGTTGTATTGCCTCCGCTCTATGTGGGGACTGTAGTCCTGCAGGTGTCCCTTTTCTTCCTCCTGATCAATTTCCTTTTCTATGAGGTTGTTCTTATCAATGTACAATCCCACCTATAAGTGTGCCAGCAAATCTATGCTCCCCTCTATAGCAAAAGCCATGAAAAATATTATGTTTTCAGTGTTTCACATCCCTACCTCTCACTCTGCTTTTAATTGCTCCATATAGGCTTTTGTCTCCAGCATTCCATTGAAATTCTTTTTGTTAAGGTCATCAGTGACTTCCTTATTGCCAAATCCAATGATTGGTCCTGAACATTCAGCTTACTAGACCTCTCAGGAGCACATGGTAAGGGTTTTCACTCCCTCTTTCTTGAAATCATTTTTTTTCATTTGGCTTACAGACCTGACGGTTCCATTGTTTTCCTCCAAATCACTGGTGGCTCCTCACAGCTGCTCCTCCTTTTTCTGGCCCCCAAATTTTGGAGTGCACCAGATAGTTTCTTATTGCACTCAGAAAATGGATAGAACTGAATAGCAATACTAGGTTCTTAGACCAAAATACACAAATATTCCCTCAGAATTATAGACACATAATAGTTCATTTTGATAAAATTCCAGGCCAAAATTGATCTAATATAAACTTCATTTAGTGTATATAATAAATTAGGCACTGTGCTCAGCACTGGGAATACAGATGGATAGATCAACTTTCTTCCTTTCTCTCTTTTAAGCCAGCATATGCTAAACAATTGCTGTGTACCAGGTACTGTGCTAAGTGCTTTTTGTCCACTATCTCATTTAATTTTCACAACCATCTGAGGTTGGTACTTTTATCACAGCTATTTTACAGATGAGCAAACTGAGGTTTAGAAATTTATGTAATGTGGTTTTAGATCTTGTAAATGGCTGAAGTGGGCTTTGAATTTAGGCTGTCTGGTTCTACACATTATCTGCTAATCTTCAACAGTTTTTGACCTGAAAAAGTGGCAGTTTCATGTGGTTCAACCCAATATTAAGTTGTTCTTTTGGAATAAGGGAAAACTGTAGGTTGAAGCAGTACCAGGAATATATTATGTAAAGTGTAAATTGGGGGAAATAATAGCAAAACCTCAGCAGGTGGTAGCTTTTCAGAGTGAATGGAATTCAGCTGATAGTCAAGTAATTGTACTCATGTACAATAAAGTAATTAGTTTTTCTATTAATTGCCCAGGGTTGAAAGAAATAGATTACAACACCTGGCTTTTGTATTTAACAAAGACATCTCTCAAACACTTAAATGAATTCACATTTTGATACTTCTTAAAACAGACATTTTAATTTTTGCTTTGAGATTTTGGAGTCCTTCAATTCCTGGCTACAGCTTTGCAGCTGGATTGTTGGTGAAAGGTAGAGGATTGGTTAATCAAACATGTCTCAGGTGCTAGACAAACATTAAGAATCAGAGAAGTTGACTAGTAGGGATTAACAAATTTAGACCTCTAGGGTGAAATCTTATGTAAACAATGTTTTTTACGCAATTCTGCCAAGAGAACTGGTTTAGGAGAGCAAAATTATAAACAAAGTTTCCAGGCATCCAGATTTACCCTTTTTAGCTCATGTAAGATTTACCCTTTTTAGCCATGTCTGCGACTTTTCTATCTCAGAAACTCACAGTCCTTGTTTCAACAAGTGCTCTGAAAATGCATTTACCCAGGATTCCCACGACTGATAAGTTGAGGTGGATCTCCTCCCATGCAGATTTACACTTTATATCTCACTCCAAAGGAAAGAAGCTTTCAGAACTCTAAGCATCAGAAAGCGGGCAAGAAAGTTATTTCTGTGGAAAGTCCAGGCTGGGGACAAGTCTTTACATTTTTTAAAATGAGCCCTGTTTATGTCGTACTAATACAATACAAACATATCTAGTGCTTTATCGGTTTTGAAGTGCTTTCACATGCAATCTGTGCTCATAACAGTTCTACCAAGTTGATTTAGACATTGAGGCTTCGAGAGATTGAGGGACCTGGCTTGCGGGTATGTGGTTAGTTCGTGGCAATGGCCTGGAGTAGGTAGCACAGTGGTATCTCCGAATCCAGGGCCCTTTCATTGCATCTACATGTGGATCTGCTGTGGAAGCGGAAGAGCCAGCGCTGCTCGGGATTTTATTTTTGATTAGCCAATCTCTTATTTGTCAGGTCTTGCCTTTTGTGATTACCTAACATTCAGACCTTTGATTCCAAAGCTTTCAGAATTTTGTGAGGAGGGGAGTACTGAGGCTTGAAAGTATAGATCCCTATCTAATTAGGTGAGAGATTCTGAGGAAAGCAGAGGAAATGGAGTTTGATGAGATTTCTCAGAAGAAAAACATTGAGCGCCGGTGTTTTGTTGTTTCTCGGGTTTCATCATTCCAGGTGTTACCTCATGATTGTTATATGATCGAGGGAACAAACTTGTCAAGATGATGTGTAGTCTCAAGTGAGAGAGATTCAATATTTGCATGGGGAAGACATAGTGTAGTGATGGTAAAATTGCCCATGATTCTCAGTAAGCAAATCTGGCATCATCTGTCGTCCCATCTCTAGCATGTATTGTCAATCCTTCATCTTCACAAACATTTAAACAGTTTGGAAAAAAGTTATGTTCTCACAGTCATTTTGTCAATAACAAATAATATATCACAAAATAACCAATTTGCATTAGTAATTTCCTTTTCTTTCTTTTGAGCTCTCAGAATTTTGTTGATAGATAATTTTCATGTATTTGTACTAATAGGCATAATTTATATTTGCACAGCATTTAATCATGTCCAAATTTTTTCTACACAGCAACATGACAAATTGTCATAGGCTGTTGAATATCTCTTCCCAAATCAACGTGGAAAGCACTAGAAAAATGTACAAAGCATGAATTTGAAAAAATATTAAAAAAAAAAAAAAAGCTGTGAGAAATTCCTGAGGAGTCTGAAGGATGCCCTGGATGGAGGTGTGGGGATGGAGGGTAAGGGTTGGGGGGCGGGGGTGGAGGCAGGGATGAGATTGGAAGGGGGCTGGAGCCTGGGGTGGAGGGTGGCTGGAGGAGGCTGTAGAGAGCATACAAAATGGAAGAACTCATGCTAAGGGCTTGGTGCAAGAAAATGGAGTTATGGGTGTAACTGGTAATGCCTTAAAGGAACACCCACAGAATGCCAAAAAACACAAAAACCACAGACACACCCAGAGAGAAGCAGATGGCAGGACGGCAGACCTGGATAAGATATGGAAGCAGCATAAAAGGAAGAGATGGAAAACTGACACCAGCGAGCCACACCCGAGAGAGGACGACTCGCTGCTGGTCATCTTGCTGATTCCAGTGCCTCTCGCCGTCCCCTTCAGCTGGATAGATTTCCCATTCCAACTTGTTGGACTGTGATGTGGACTTTGTGGACTTTGGTTTGTAACCCCTTGCATATTGAATGCTGTGTTTGGTGTTAATTGATATATTCTTATGATACTCATATGATTTAATGTGTGATGTTTGATTGAATCTCTATAAGGGGATGGGGGTTTTTACTGCTGTTCCCGGATCGTAGTCGCTTGTGACAAGAGAATAAATTCTGGCATTGTGGTAAGTCACCAAAGAGAGTGGACGATCCATTACTAACCGCTCATAACAGGGGCAGTAGGATTGTAGAAGACCTATCCTGGTGCCCAGTTCATGAAAAGAGTTGCAGATTAGCCAATCACACTGTGACAATTGCTCTAACAAACCTCCATCCTCAAACCCCCAAACTAGTGGCTCAGCAATGTATTCTCCTGGGCCATTGTTTAAATGGGAAACCTTGGTCAGGGGTGTCTCCTGGTGAAGTGGCAGCAAACGGGGATGGTCATCAGTGGCTATGTGATGTCTGGGCTCTCCACTGTGGACTTATCCCCTACCCCTCACCTGAAATATGCCTGGAGGAA